CTATTGCTAAGTGATTTTTTTTCCAACAGCAGTTGAAAAGAGGTTTGTATTAAAAAAATAAAAATGTCTAGCTGCAAATATGTCACCTGTGTTTTGCTGGAAGATATGACCTTGCGTTCACAGAGGCACTTTGTCACATCTATTTTGCTGCAGTTCTTATCTGCTGGCTTACAAACAGATTTTGTGATAGAAATTAAAGAACTTTTTTAGAGGTATACTGTAGTAACCTTTTTCTGGTGAAACAGTTACAAAACCAGTCATAACCACTGAGGACACCACAACACAATAAAGAAAACAGACAGCAGATCACTAGCGAAAGGCATAAGTCACAATGCTTTTAATGACATTTGAAGACATTATTGTATTTTTCCCACATAGCGCCTATCCTTCCACTCCGTAAGAAAGCAAAGAGAAGTTTTAATCAATTCAGTGAACCCATCCAAAACTAGGGAAACGAATACCAATGATATCCAAAACACATGTTAAATGTTATTAAATCCAACACATATTTACTGCTTTAGATTATGGATTTTACCTTTTGATGAGAGTTTGGAGGCAATTTCTTAGCAATAAACACAGGCTTCCACCCTGACCATCCCATCAGATACTGCTTACTGACCAGAACACAAAAAGCTTTTGTTCTTTGTCAACAAAATACTACTTTTCTCCCTCAGTCACATAAAACATACATAGACAGTAGCTATTAAGGGAGCAGGACCTTGTTAGTACAGGAGTCCCACACAGTCAATTAAATGGCCATATTATTCTGTGACAAGTAGATTTCTGGCACAATAAAAAATTGCTGCTTAAAAGGCTCATAGCTAGGGGAAAAAAAAAACAAAGAACAGGATGTGCGAAGATACAGGTCAAACATCCAAATCTCACAGCAAGGCAGCATATCAGACAACCCTCATTTTCCTATTTTTAAAATGGTCTTTGAAAGAAACAGTGTCAAGATAGGTTTGATTAGGTTTTGGTAGGCAATTCTTAGAGTTTAATTTTTGAGAGAAGATTTCAAAATGACATACAGGACACAACGGATGTCTTCGTTTGGAACAGACAGCTGGGTGAAGACAGGGCCAGGTTCTGTACGCTTTGGAACACACTGTGCTGCAAATGTATTAGCCCTCAGCAGTCGCAGAATATAAAAAGAAAGTAAGGTTAAAAGACTCAAACACAATGGAAGGACTAGTCCAGGAGATCACAGAATACCTCTGGCAAGAAAATAGGGTCGCATTTTCTCCTGTGTGAAGTTACATGAGGAGGTCATTAACCCACAGTTCTCAAAGTACTGTAACCAAAGCAGTGCAACCTTCGGGCTGGTCTAACACGCATCTCACTGATACCTCAGTGACAATACAGAGGGGATCAGTTAGGCAGTCCCAACCAGAGGAATGCTTTTGAGCAAATACACATTTATTTTTCTAGTGCACAATAACAAACACCTACTTAATTTTAGCCAAAGGAGAACAGACTTCAATGACAAGTAAGAAAAGGGGGGGAAAATTGTACTCCAGAAAGGCAATGTGATTTAAGAAGCTAGGATCCTCAGTCACTGAATTAGTTAAATGTACTTTCAGTATTCAAAAACACTGAAAGGGAATTCTTTGGAGAGGAGATTAAAAAAAAAAGTAGTAACTATACTGGTTCAAATCTATAAAGTGATTAAATGAAACAACACATGTCAGTGCAAACAACGAGACCAAATGCTCTTCATCTTGCTCAGAATGCCGATAACCCCAAATCGCCACAGAATACCACTTGCCCCCTCAGAACATCTTAACAGATACCAACACCCTGAAGGAAAGAACATCCCAAACTTATAGGCCTCCACTGCTCATCTATTCAAGGACATTGCCCTTATTAGTAGAAGTTTTTCATTAGAACACATCCAAAAGATGAACAAGAACACTGATATTTACAGATACTGTCCTGGGGTGGAAGAGAGTTGCTGTAGGATGTGATAGGGACCACCAACACAAAACAGTCAAAAACGTTCCCTGTGATCACTTCTCAGTGCAGGTTACGTGGAAATTTTGGACTAGATAAATCCCTGATGTCCCTCCCAGTCTGAACCTTCCTATAACCACAAAATAAAATAGCCTGGTAATAGGTTTTCCAGTTAAAAGACACCAAGCCAAATGAATTAATCTATACATTATGTCTTTGACTTCCAGTTAAACAGCAAAGCTGCATTTACCTGAATATCTTGCTCTGCATAATATAAAAATTTTTGTCTGTGCACAACAGCACTTAGGTTCTTAAACTGTAGGAAGAAAATACTCTGCCAAACACAGCACAGTTCTGCTTCTCTTGAACTGTCGTCTATAAAAGAGGGACCAGACAGGTAGCTCTTCGGTTTTCTCCATGCAGTATCTTTTGTACATCACTGAATTGTTAGATAACAGATCAAAAGGCTCAAATACCACATAACAGCAACTAGAAAGGAAATCCAGAGACCCTTATTCACTTGACAGGAATAACAGTTCAAAATTATGCAGCTAAGATCATATACACAAGGGTATTCAAGTACCATTTTTGGAGACCTCCCTGCCAGACAACTGAAGTTGTCATTACTTCCTGTTATTACCACTGCAACAGCTCCTACACTCCATGTACACCACCAGGACACTGTCACAGTCCAAACACTGTCATAAATCTATCGAACTAGCAGTGGTACAGAAAGCCAGTGAGCATTACAAATGCCACTTTGTACTCGTTTTGTGTTGGTACTGCACAAACCTGACCAGGACGACAACAGCACTCTGCTGTACACAGATGGGCTATGTCGTCTAACCCATCATATTTGGAAATGCAAATAAAATGTGCTGTACCATTCCTGAATAGTAATGATGCTTCCTATCAACTGTTGTTTATCCGCCTGCTTTTTTCAAGCAGAGTTGGCTGTGCCTGTGGCGTTATGCAACCCTCAGCAAATCCACATGCCTACTGCCTTTCTGAGATCTCAAGGTAACAGAGCGAACTCAGGCATCTTTCCTGCTCAAAGCTTGTCTTTGAAATAGATCACAGTATTTTACTCAAAGCAGTGAACTGTACTCTATTGGTCCCTACATTTTTTTTTATTACAAACACTTAAGTACTTCCAAATATTAACTAGATAATAATGCTATAATATTAACTAGAAAGTTGCATGCTGTTACTACATGGTTTATTTAGTATGGGACAGCATTAGATGAAGAAAACAAATACAAACAAACATCAAAACTTTATAAACTGTGTTGGGTGGTGGTTATTGTTTCTGAGCATACAAAGCAGACCAAGGGCCAAGATACCAAAACGAACTGACAGTTTGTAAGAGAATCTCACGTAGGCACTGAAGATCGATCAACAGTATTACTATCACCAATTTCTGTTATACCACAAATCACTGAAAAGACAAATAACACCTCAATTAGAAAACTGTTTGGGACTTGTAAGACTGTAGTGAAGATGAAGGAAGTCTTACATTCTCAGCATGTCTCCTGTTCTCAGAGGCCTAGTTGTCGCTTTATGTAGCTACACAGGCATGCATAGATCTTCACAGGCTGAAGCACAGCAAAGTCACCACCTGAAGAACTTAGCTGAAATAACTTGAACTCCATACCAGGTTCTTTCATCCCCTCTAAGACCACCTCCTTCATCTTCCCCACCCCTTTTACAACTCTTGGAAACACAAGTTTTAAGAACCATAAACACTCAGGACAATCTCATTAATTTGTGTATGAAATACTGTCCTCTTAAACAAGAAATTTAAAAATGTTCATTGGTTTCTCAGAGAGAGTACTTAATAACTACCTAAAAACACCTTCAGCAAAGTGCCGGGCCCTTCCTCTTTCCCCAGTCCCTTACTACTTTCCACCATTTCTGCACACTAACATTTTTCTTTTGTACTACCACAACATCCCACTTAAATCACTCCCACACATTTGCCTGGTTCCAACCCTCCCATATGGAAGAGAACAATTTTTCAAAACCTGTTGCCACATCAAGCACACGTACAAATACATGCTCTAAAGGCATTCAAACCCACACATAATTTCTGATAAGAGAAGAGAATAAAGGGTGGAAAAATCTGTGTCTGATTTGATTCAAATAGTCTGAATATTCCTTTAACTCCACAGCCACGCACAGTACAAGCAACTCCCATTTCTGCCACCCCAGTCTTCCCACTCGCTCTGACCATTTCCTCAGCATCTTTCCCCAGGTTC